CGTCTGGCATGTTCTCGTCGGCCACGATGCCCCGTAGCAAATGCACAATGTCACGCGACGGTCGCAACCGCGGGTTGGCAGGGTCTCCGAGGAGACGTGATAGGATAGTTGCGTGCGCCGTCCTGACACCCTCAATATCTAACGACGAGTCGAGCACGTCCGGACCCAGCAATAGAGCAAGCACTGGGTCGGTCGGGTACACCGCGGTGGGTCGGCAGGTCACCTGCTCCCCCACCTTAGTCTGGAGGACCACGTCTCGGCCACGGTTGCGGACCACCTGTCCATGAAGCCAGGAGCCGTCGTGGCGAGCGAACACAGCACTGAGAGGTTCGATGGATGGCTGGCGGTTATTGCGACGAGGTGCCATCTGGGACTGTTCTTGGACACTTGACGGATTTCTGGGAAATCACAGACTGGCTAGACTACACCGGGATTCATCCTTCTGCTGCTTGATGTGGTCCACTCGTTTCTCTCCTCTGAAAACAGGTTTTCCTTTCACTATCACGCTGCGGAAAAACATACCGATCAGTCCGAGCTTTACTTTGCATGAACAGCTCGGACACTCTCACGCACGTGATCCTTGTACTCGGAGACCACCGAGCTATTCCTCGATGTAATCGCTGGAATCTCCGACGGCCAGAGGTGATTAGAACGTGCAACACACTTGGTTCTTTGAGTTGCACCCTCTCTTTGACAGAAAATGGAGACACACTTCCTTTCCGTCTCGAGTTGAAATGTATTCGATGTCGTCCTTGGAAATCTCCCTCTCCGTTTGGAGTCGCACTTGGAGACGTGGCTTGACAGAAACCGTTTTGTTTGGAAACGTGCTCCATCCAGGAGCCGCTCACGTAGAACTAACAGCACGAGACCTTGGGGCTCTGGATTCGAAGCAGAAAATCGGTTGATCAGAGAAATGCGTGCGTTTCCCCCGCTGTCTATGTCGCGTCCAACCGCATTGCGCTATTGCTCCAGTCCGTCGTTGATCCACATCACTAGTACAGGAAGATCTTCTTCCAGCAACTGACCACTTTGGCGATGAAGTCAACCAATGATATTGCAAGTCGTACACTCACATGTAGCATGTGCGTAGGCCGTAAAAGCTTCAGGCGGCAGCTCCGAGTTGACTCCACGGCTGAGGCACTGGAGCGGGAGGGGGAGGCACGGAGAAGTCGGAATTTAGACTGGCAGATGACGCAGCCATCCGGTAACGTTCCATCGTACCCATTCGACGGAAATGCGTAATTGACAGACCCCGTGATCGAAACTGCAGGTCCTATGAAAGTACTCCCGGTTACCAACAGAACTGCTCCATCCCTAAATCAAACTCGATGAAAGCGTCACCGGACTTTGATGAGCTCGAAAAGCTCTAGCTCCTGCGATTCTGCTCCGACTATGTCGAGACTAGGCCTCTCAGAAGCAGCGCAAGTACTGCAGCCAAGTACGAAAGTGTTCAGGGGGTTAGCTTTGATTGCGGTCGGCAAGCCTGATTGTCGGGATGGCGGGTCGTCTTGGAGACCCGAGGAGTCGCTATTTTGGGGCTCAGGGTCAACCAGACCGTCGTCATCATCAACTAATTGGTCAAAGAAATCAGACTGTGGCCAA